GGGGGGAGGATGGGAAGGGATGGGAAGGGGAAACAAAGGAGGAGGCTACAATGCTTGATAAGAAATGTACTCATTATCTTGCCTATGTAATTGTAACCCCTCTGTATGGTATTCTCACAATAAAAAAAAAACTTTCTTAGCAATACCATAGCAGTCCACAAGGTGGTGATGTCCCCACACAAAGGAGCATATGTGAATTGCTACTTCCAGTTGGATTTACAAAGCAGTAAGCTAATGAGATGATCAAGGGGAGGTTGACAATGAGATGAAATAACAGAGCCCAGTTTGATTAACTGTCAATGACATAAAAAAAAAAAAAGAGCTGTGACAGTGCAGGGTTAGCAGGGGCAGGAAGATGGCTGTGGGCAGCCTGGCTCACCAATGCCAACCAGATACCCACACCTAAGCCTTCAGGCTAGGCAGAGACAATAGACTAAAGAGGCCCACAAAACCCACACACATATTCTGGGACCACAAGTTGGAGCTGTAAAAGGGGAGAGCACTAGGCTGTAAGTGGCAGAGCTGACCCACCAAGGTTTACACCAGCCAGGGAGTTGCGTGTGAGGAAGCACTCCGCATGCCATGTGGGAAACATGAGCAGGCACCCAACACAGAAAAGGAAGAGGACAGCAGGCAGGGACCGAAGTGGTATGAGGCCACCAGCCATCATGCAAAAGAAAGGTCAACTCACATAGTATGGGGCAACAGTAAAACAAAAGCTCTGCACTACTCAGGTCACAGCTAGCTGCTGGCCTATGGGTCAGAGCAGACAGGAATCTTACCATCTAGGCTGACCATCCCACATTTTGAAAGAGAAGAAAACTAAGAAAGGTTCCAGTAGTTAAGTGGACCTACAGAGCAGGAAGCCCCAGAGGCCACAGCCAGAGACCTAAACCACTAACCTGTGTCTCCACATAGGTCTACACTGGGAATCAACAGCCCCATCCCAGAGCCAAGCCAGAACACAAAAGCCCTCCTATCCACCTTCCACTGCTACAGCCACATTGCAGACTCCCTCACAAGTCTTCCAGCCCCCTTCTGAGGTCAGTGCCTTCATTTTGCTTTCTTATACTGTGATTTTAGTCATCTGAACAGCTTAGACTTTTCTTCAATATTCAACCATGTCAAAGACCCCAGGGAAAATAGTTATTTGCAACCCCTGGTCTTCAGATATTGCACAGTAGTAATGCATAGAGGCCTGCGGCAAGACAGTCCACTGCATGACAGCCTGAAGGCCACCCTCTGCTCTCAGGAGCTAGGGACAACTTCCTTGAACCAATTGTTCCAGGCTGAAAAAGGAAGCTCTGACCATGGCTGTCAGCCAATCTGCAGATGGCTTTCCAGATACACAGAAACTCTGGTCCTTTCACAAACACATGAAATCACTTCTATTACTACACCAAGGACAAAGTTTGGTAAGGATTTGCATTTATTTTGATCTTCCTCCAATGGGGTTCTAAGCTATAAAGTCAAAGACAAAACAAGTATTATCCACCTTCCTCCTATAATTCTATGCAAAGGCTACTTCTTTAAAGATTTTTTTTCAAATAAATTAAAGCTTTGCATCTTTAAAAAAAACTAAAACAACATATGCAACAGATGAGGAACTTTTTTTTCTTTTTTTCGGTTGGGGGAGCTAGAACTGAAGAGGTACTGTTTAATATTCAAATCTAAACTGTAATGCAAAATAAAATAAAAGCATGTCACCATGCAGAGAAAAAACAAGCAATGAAATCGCTGCAGACTGATAAGAGACCAAGGATTTCTGTGATGGGACCCAGAGCCCAAAGTACACTGTGCAAGGGGAACCAGGAAGCCTGGAGCACAAGCAGCAAGCAAATGGCAAAGCCCCAGCAAGGCATGGAGGGGCAGTGGCAGTGAGCACAAAGAGGGAAGTGGGTGGCTGCCCTGAGAACATAAAACCCAACAAGTGAACACTGTTATAAGCATCTACACATGTGCAGACTTATGTAAAAATGCCTTAAGTAACTCAATAGCCTTCCATGCGCCTTTTAGGAAGAGCAATTTCCTCTCTTAGAACAGGCATACAGCCCTTAAACACAGTGCTTTTGAAAGCAAAGTGTCCAAGTCAGACATATGTGTAAGTAGCCATGGGTGCAGGATTACTGTTAACAAGTTGTTCAGGTGCCAGGTACTCTGTCCAGTGGCTTGATTGCTGATACAAAGGTTCTGAGCACTTCAATTGTAGCTGAGCACTAAACTGAAATAGTGTGGAAATTAAGAACAAATGAAAACAGGAGAGTGTGATGCAAGTCACAAGACAGAGACAGTGGCTTGTGCCTATAATCTCAGTTACCCAACAGAATTGTGGTCAGGGGGTAACGCTAGACAAAAGGTGCTAGACCTTAGCTAAAAAACAAACTAAAGCAAAAAGAGCTAGAAGTAGGTAGGGATTAAGTAGTAAGACACTTGCCTAGCAAAACCCAGGCCCTGAGTTTAATCTCCAGAACACCAAACAAACAAATAATTTGTCACTGTTAAGGAAATATGTTAACTGGGTCAGGCACCAGTGGCTCATGCTTTATTCCTAGCTACTCCAGATGCTAAAATATGAGGGCTGCAGTTCAAAGCCGGCCTGGGCAGTAAAGTTCATGAGACTCATCTCCAATTAACTACCAAAAAGCCAGAAACAGCAGAGCACTAGACTTGAGCAAAAAAAGCTAAAGGGTAATGCAGACCCTTAAGTTTAAATATCAGTACTGGTACCAAGAAAAACAAATTAACACATCTTGAAAGGGATGTCAAAGCTATTTTTAAAAGAAATTATAGCCTGGAGCCAGTGGTTCACACCTATAATCCTAGCTACTCATGAAGCTGAGATGTGAAGATCACAGTTCAATGACAGCCCAGGCAAGAAAGACTCTTATCTCTAATTAATCACCAGAAAAGTGGAAGTGGCACTGTGGCTCAAGTAGAAGAGCACTCAAGAGCTGCGGGACAGTGCCCAGGCCCAGAGTTCAAGCCCCACGACCGACAAAAAGGAAGGGAGGGAGGGAGGGAGGGAGGAAGGGAGGGAG